TGGTGGCATACCTGTCGATACAAGGTACTCACTTTTCCGGGCTGTTTTTCCATATTTTGTCATGTTATTTCTTTATTTTCCTTTCCTGTGGTCTCTTGCTTGGGTTTTCTCAGTTCTATTTTTATTTTAACACACAGTGTGGTAATTCAGCGACCATTAAAGTGTGATTCCTGCAATATATGACAGATTCGCTGCAACTTAAAATTTTAGCTTGTAACTACCAAACAACAGGAAGAAGAAAAGTTGAGCCTATGACGACTGGGTAGAATTTTTAGTCCAATGACAAGCTAAGTCTCTAGTGGATGGTAGTGAGTATTTGTTCCTTCCAGAATGGATTAATCATCGCAGTCAATTTTAGTCTTCAAGAAGGCATATTTAGTGAAGAAGTTACAGTATTAGCTTTCGTACTACAACTGCGCAGATGTAATCTTGAAATTCAGTCAACTAATAATCTGATTGACACAATATCATAAGCATAGTCATGGTAGATTACACTGTCATTCATTGGTCTGGGGTTTTTATTAAATGACTACCTTTATAGAAGTTTAATCTATAAAAGTTTAATAAAAAAAAGAGACGTGATATTCAATTCTCTATCTTTAGCATGGGCATGGAAGATAATACTGCCATTCACTGGTCCAAGGTTTTATTCAATGGCCACCATAGTAAAAGTTTAAGCTGGAAAAGAGGTGATATTTAATTCTCTATCTTTAGCATGTCCATAGGCTGGCTACGTTCATGTTTTTGCAGAAGTCTAATATATACATTTTTCAAGAATGCATAGAGGTTCAAATTGATCCGTGTATCCTTGCCTGCTTTTTACCATACTATATGATGTTCTCATCTAAAATATTGAAAAAATAAATAGATAAATAACTACTTTTGTTAAGGAGTGATTTAATTATTTAAGTTTCCAATCAGGGCATTGGGTTTTGTAACATCTGTGTCATATCTCTTTACTCGTCCAGGGAACCATTTTGGTATATAGATTCATAAATTTTAACCTGCATGTTCTTAATCGTTCTTTTCTGGATTTTTACAGTGAGTTGGAGCTTAAGCCACAGGGAAAGATTAAAATTACTGTATTAAGGGCAAACAACTTGAAAAACAAGGAGTTGATTGGAAAATCTGATCCCTATGCTGTTGTGTACATTCGTCCACTGTTCAAGGTCAAAACAAAGGTTATTGAAAACAACCTGAACCCCGTCTGGAATCAAACGTTTGAGTTAATTGCAGAAGACAAGGAGACACAGTCTCTTATCATTGAGGTTTGATCTCTATACCAATGCTCTCTCCAGATTTCATCATGGTTCTTAAATTTAGCATATTATGCTTTTATTGATCTTTCCTAAACTTAGCATAGGTACTAGTTTATCATGATATCACTTTTAGTTGTTTAAGCATGCACCAATGTAAATATTTTAATTTTTAGTATTCGATTCATATATGCTCCAAGGAAAATGGTATTCTAAATTTTATTTTAGAACTAATCAATGAATTGCTATTGAATCTATATTAGTTCATGGGTAAATTACTCTTTAATCTATATTAATTTGTGGGTTAGCAGAGATAAACTCCATTGAGGCCTTGAAGGAAAATGAAATGAATAAACAAAAGGTTAGATGTGATGGTATAGAGAGGAAGTTGAAATTTCGAGTGAATTGGTTCATGTGGATTATTCCTACTCCAGAATTCATATAGATTGTAATAACAATCATGTATGTTTTGCACTATCTGATGAAAAAATATGAAATTAATCAGATATTTTTAACTCTTAAATTTTTATAATTTTCCTGTTTTTCATTGGACCTTTTCAAGACATTATGAAGCCCGACAAGCTTTCTCTTTTAACTCCTTCGATGACTTCGTGTATTATTCAAGATGATTCCTTTTTTCTTTTGCTGTTATAGTCAAATCAATTTCTTAAAAGTAGGGTTAATCATTGGAAAATTGGAAGATTTAGCCTGTTCTGCTCAATTCATGATGAGGAGTCATTTTGATTTAGATAATATTGATGGCAAATGATTGCAACTTCAGTATTCAGAAACGTCTAGTTTTTCATGCAGCAGCAATTACTTATTCATTCAACTTTTCTTTCCGTTTCTGTTTGATGAATTGATTGTTTGCTTGTGGATAAAGGTCTTTGATCAAGATGTTGGGCAAGATGAGCGATTGGGCATTGCAAAGTTACCACTGATTGAGCTGGAAGCAGGGAATTCAAAAGAAATTGAATTAAGGCTGCTGCCATCACTAGATATGCTTAAAATCAAAGATAAGAAGGATAGAGGAACTCTTACAATTCAGGTACAACCTTGTGATTAAGACTATTTTACCCACAGAATGTGAAACTACATAGTGCACCAAACCTGGAGAAGGACCAGCAACTCGTGTTGCCATCGGCTCAACTTATCCCATTCTCACACACTGTTCTATTTTTTTT